AGTTTCTTACAGCAACTCTGATAGCCTACACACCATAATAGTCATCTAATGAGTTAAAACCTATTTCATTCTACTGTGAGCCACACTCTACAGCACCTTTGGAGAACAGGAAACTCAGCATGCTTTACTGCAAACAACTTTGTTAACCACAATGTTCCCAAGACGGAGGGTGAATATATCCCTTTTGTGCTTATTCAGAGTATTACTGTTTCCTCTGGCTTGATTTTAGTAACACTGCAGGACTTTGCATCTAAAATTTAATGGCTCCACTGCAGAAATGATTTACTAAGCAAACAGATAACTTGGAACAGATGTACAAAAATAACTCTGAAAAGCTGGGCACCATTAAGGTGGGACTGGTTCCATTTAAATCCTAAGTAACCTTACAAAAGATATATAACTGTGTTATAAATTAGAAGCTTTTAAAATACAGTAAAAATGATTTACATAAAGCACGATTAATAGTCTTGCATTCAAGGAAGACTCTTACAAGCTTATTCAATGTTATTTTTGAAGTCTAATTTTGAAATGCCATCAATGATAGCTACAGCTTCTTTGGCACTAAAAAAATAACTTCAGAGTTGACAGTGATGCCAAACAATAGTTTCAACCAGCAGTTTATCAAACTGTACTGAAAATGCTATGGCTGCCACTGAGAAGAATGCACAAAAGATACACAGCAGTATGCCAGGTCTAACACCCTTTCAACAGCAACACTGAAAGCAATTTAGCCTTGTTTGCATTAGTGAAATTGTTTCCAACAGATCTAAAAGGGAGCCACAGAGAACCACAGCTGACAGCCATTGACCACTCCAAATTAAAAGCATTTCAAATAAAAAAAAAATCTTGAAATGCAGCATACATTTATCACTCCTTTCAAACTGTAATAACTACCTTTACGTTTTTAGTATAGTGAGCATAGTATTTTTGGTTTAGGAAAAATGAGGTATTTCACTTTAAGGTTACTATGTCCCCTTGTTATGACACTATTTATATTAATCAGCTTAATAGGGAACAGTTTACTCAAATCAGCATTTAATATGGCAAATCTAAAAATATCTGCAATGCAAAGTCTTCAAAATATTAGAAGTACAGTATATGCAAGATGTGCATACTGCCACTACAGAAGAAACAACGTAAAAAAATTAAGATATGTGATAGCTGAAGTCAGTAATATATTGTGCTACAGGGAGAACTTATTTTACACATTCTATACAAACTGTAACTAATTTCCTAACCATATATAAAAGGTAATGATTTCGTAACAGAAAAATAAGTAAATCAGAAATCGAGCATTTTTCTCTGAACCTTCTAAAAATCACACCATCTTCAATGAAGTATCAAAGGTACCTTCCAGGGGAGGGCACATTTTCAGCACCATTCTGGTTAACAAGCTTATGTGAAAGATTTTAAACACTTAGCACGGAGCTGAGCAGCACCCTTCTCCTCTGAGGAGTTTGAGCATGACAGTGATGTAGTGTTCACTGGAAAACTGAAAGGCAAATCCCACAAGGAGGCTGTAGGCATCCAAGCAGAAAATATCCACCTTGTAGCAAACGCTTGCTTTATTTTGCACAGGTGAGCAGCCTGGTAGGTGGGCATTAAAGTTTCATAAAGATTCATAAGCGAACAGGTTTTCCTAACTGCAACAACTTTTGAGGAACTCCGAACAAGGGAGAGGCTATAGCTGAAGTAAGGAGCAGAATGAACTCAAATGACATTTTACTACACGCCCTGGTAAGGTTTGATTATTGACCTCACTCCTTGTGTTCAGTGGAACAGCTTCACTTTAATGTGTTCTGTAAATTCAATGACCATTTGTTATTTTGATTCCTGTCCACTTTGGTGACCGAACTTTAGTCAAAAAAACAATGTTTATTGAGCAAAGGGTACAAATAAGATAAACATTTATGAATCAAGCCTGCATAAATATTTATCTTCTGAAACACACAGGCATGAAACCAGCAAGCAACATCAGGATGGCCCTGTAGGACACACTTCTAAGTACTGATGGCACTCCAAGGCAAACTTAAGCAGTCATCACTTTAACCGAGACAAAAAAAGCAGGGTCCTGACATTCATAGTTCCCACTATCCTGAGACGTAGATCACAAAAGCAAATGTATGTGGCCTAAATTTTGTTCTATTGTTTGGTGGCTTTCTCCAGGGGCTAGAGGGCATGGCTGACTTGGTTATGGAAAACATTGAGCAAATGTGTCTTCCAGCAAGATCTAATTCTGCATCAGCTCCAGGCACTATTTAGACAAAACTCTTGACAATTCCTTGTCTCTCAGCTTCCTTTTGAAGTCAGCTTCTGAATGTTACCAAGAAGTCTTCAAACAGTTCATCTCCAGCCATCCTTCTCTTGCCATAGAGAAGAGTGAGGCCATTCTGCTGCTGACAGTGTTTCTGCCTGGCAAGATATCAGGTGCTGGAGCTGCAGGAACTGAGAAGAACAACCAGTCCTTGTATTAATTCCACTCTCCATAGCAACAATAACATTGCTCTTGTCTCCTTAACCATTCCCATAGTCCTTTTCCAGGCTGGAGCAAACACAGAGCTGGTAATATGACCTCCAATGTGCTTCCTAATTCCCACTACAAGCGTTGTTCCAATTCTGGATTGCTCACACCTGGGGGTAGATCAGCAACAGTTTTTGGTGGTTTGGGGTAATGGGAAGTTGTGGAGGGTCAGATTAACAATTGCCAATTTGAATGATACTACCAGATAAGAATCATCAGCAGACTTATTAAAAAAAACACCAAAACAAAACAGATAGACCAGGAAAATATGCAATGGTGTTATTTACTAGAAGAGCTCCCACAAGGATGCTTTGCCTTGGAAAGTCAGTTCCAACACAGAGCATTGTTTTGCCTTAGTTTTGTTTTGGTTTTTTGTGGGTTTTTTTCTATCTCCTCTAGAAGTTACTGGTGCAAAGTGCACAATAAAAGTTCTGCAGTAGCTCATTTGAATGAAAGATGTCTGGAACGACTGAGACAATCCAGTCACCTCGGTACATTTCAGAGGTCTCCCTTTGTGAAACATATCTCCTCAAATACTAGCATCACTGAAGTGTAAAGGGTGTGAAGGATGAAATACTTGTCATGTTCACCTATTTTTCCTGCAGTTGACACCAAATTAACAAGCCTGCAATACAGCATATTCTTTTAGTTAAGCCACCAGTGCACTCCACTCAGAGTCTTGGAACCTTTAATGGGAATGAAATTGCAGGGAACCTCATTTTGAGCATGTGGGAGCTGGACATCTGGAATTAACAGAACTGGAAAGGCTCCTAGTAGGAACCAGAATGGCAGCATTTACTGGATATTCTGAAAAAAAAAAAATTAATGAAAACCAGTTACTCCGTGTTCTTCAATACATATCTGCTTTGCAGGGACCTTTCTTCAGGCTCCATATTGTCCACTGTCTGTCTAGACTGCAGAATCTGTTTCCCAGAGTCTGCTTTTGATTCTTTAGTCAAAACAGACCCTGTCTTTCAGAGACATTGTCATCTCCTCACAGTCCTAAACATCTTCAATGCTTTGGGCACTCTCCACAGTGTTCTGCAATGGATTACAAACTAGATTTTTACTAAGGGAAGCTAATTCATCAAAGGAAAAGTCTGTGCTTGGAGCTTCACCCCCTCATTTACTCTTCTTAAGGATTCTGCTGGAGCCCTTCTCTCCTGCAACTTCTTTCCGACATCTGATTCACCAAACACGCATTTTCACACTACAGTGGCTGTTGTTAAGACAAATTACATAGTCACCTGATTCTAAAAATCACATGAAAATCCAGGGCCTCTGAATGGTTCCACCTAAACACCGGCTTTAAAGCTCAGAAGGGTAAGCAGCCCTAGAACAGGAAGGGACACCTGAAGAAATAGATACAGAGTAGTACAACACCACCATGACCACAAAAAAGAAACAACCAAAACTAAAAAAAAATAAAAATTAATAAAAAAAAGGAAGCACAAGATAGCAGTGGAGGATCGCCATGATGTTGTGAAATATAGATGAATGTACATGTATCCCTACATATCTTATTACATATCACTCAACCAGAAATGAGTTAAACCATTAAAAAGTGAATTATCTAATTCCTGAACAGTTGTTTTGAAAGAACAATTGTATCATGTGGATACAGCACATTTTAGAGGATGGGGAGTTGGTGCACACTCCCTCATTTCATAAACTTTATTATGGCTGGACCTCTATATACGTTCCTTGAAATGTGTACGTCTTCCCATGTGCCTAACACTGCAACACAGTAGGGCTTTAAAAATTATACAAGAACCAAGTTTCAGATTTTCAGAGAAGAAACCTTTGTGCTGTAGCATCCAAAGAAATTACAACTTTGCTCTCCTACCCACCTATTCCTTTATCTAAAACAAACTGTCGAAACCTCTAAATATAACAGTGAAATAAAAGAACATGAAGTACTGCACAGGTTCTATTAGCACGTTAATCTGCTTCAACTAAGAACTGTCAGTGTCTCATTACAAGTAATTCTTATTAAAATGTGCAAGTGAGATCCAAATTACAGAATTTATAAACAAATTAACATTCATTTGAAAACAGTTAACTACAGCCAAGTGGTTTCACTTGCAAGTGTAATTTTAGACAAACATACAGAATGCAATGCATTGTTTTAAAAGGAAATAATTTATGGCATAAGGACCTATTGCACCATTCCATCTCACTGAATCTAGTCACTAAATTATGAGCACTGTAGATGTTTTTCCTGTGAGCATTAGCAATACAACATATGTATTCTAGAACCCTACTCAGACATTTCTTCTATCAGCATATCACTGATAATAAATAAGATTCTATCACAAGGCAAAGTTAATTTTTATAAAGTTGCATCCCTTTATCATGTCAGTCTCCGTCTTGCTAAGAAGAAAATATTTTTAAACAAACATGCAAAAACTATGGAAGCACATTAAGTCAGAATGATGCTGTTTAGAAAAATAATAAATTAGGAAAATCATGGGTATACCTTTTTGTGAAAAACACTGCAGAGGCCTCTCTCTATATCTGGCAGCTTACAAAGAAGATTTCGAATCTGACCAAACACACTGGATTCTGACAGCAGAATTTCAGACACAGCATCAAGCCGGGCATTTATTTCACTGTAAAAGAACAACCATAAGATCAATACACAAAACTTGCGTTTCTCTGAGGGGAAGGCATATAGCTAGTGAACTTTTTCCTTTGGTTTGTTTTGGTTTTGTTGCGTTTTTTTTTAAACTTTGACTAACACCACATTCTCATGAATAGGTAAGTAAAAGAATTAAGAAATGCAGATAATATTGGGCTTTCATTCAAGATGCAAGCAAGATCTTTGATATAAGCTCATTAACCCCTCTCTATGCTCAAAACAGCCAAACATACACTTTGGTGCCCGTGTTTACATGTCCTTCTAGCAGTACATATGAACAATACTGAATCCTGAACATCTAACCCTAAATTTGCAGACAAGTACCTGGGGTAGGGGCAGAGGGAGTTTACATTTGAGCCCTATGTAGCATACTTTATTCCAACAGGGTAAAAACATTGTTTATGGTTTTGCCCCTCTGCTTTTGATCCAGACCAGCAACTGGTAATTACATGAATCAGAACCATGTTGGGGTTTTGGCCTTTTTTTTTTTTTTTCCCCAAAACCTATAACATTGATTTCCCTATTTCAGGACTGAAATCAATTAATGAGGAAATATTTTTTTATGTGAAGAATCAATTCTATAGTTGTTTGCACATCCTTACAATCATATTCTCACAGCTATTGTCAGAAAAGAGCTTTAAAATGGACAACCTACTGTCAAGGTTCACTGCTGCTAATGACAGAGATACAACTTCCAATACACCCATGAGCTGGCTGTAGATTGCAGAGCTAAGTCAAACTCTATTTCTGGGGGAATTTTTTTGTGCAACCACATTTCCTCAATGCTGCTTTCTAGGAAAAGACTGAGATTAGGGGTACATGGGTGTATTCAAAACATATGGGTTAGGAGTTTATCTTCAGGAGCTAGTGAATCAAAGCGTTGTCAGTGCATGCAGCCCAAAGGAAATAGAGCCAAAGGTAGCAAGCTCACTGCAAGACATCAGTGAAAGAGATGTGTCAAAGCCGAATTGCACAATTCCACTGAACGTAGCTTTTCCATGTTCAGGCTTTATCTCTGAGGTGTGCACTACGAAATAGAACCAAGTAGGTGAAAGCTGTGCTAAGATTTGCTGAGGTTTAACGACAAAAAACATCTGTTCCAGATCATATGTCACCCCCAAGTCCCCCACCAATGTGCGACTGGGCACACTCTGCAGGCACCAGCATGCTGGAAGGCTTTAGCAGCATTTAGAAAGTTTCTGGCAAGTAAAGCTGAATGTGAAACACAGTGTTCCAAGAAACGTTAAAAATCCTCAAGACATTTCAGTGCTTATTTTAAAATCCTTGTGTCTTCTGTCAGAATGACAACTAAGCCTTTTCACAACATGCTCCTCCTGAGACAAAGAAGTTCAAAAATCCCCACGCTGCTGTGTGTGCGCCCATCCACCCTTGTAGGTTAAGAAAAAAGTAGTCTTCTGATACCAACACTTCATGTACCAGCCAAGTGCGCACACGGCAAATATAGCCCAGCCTGCATCTGTTCCCACAGACCAGCGAGATGCTTAGAGCTCTGCCAGCACAGAGGGATGAAAAGCAAGGATGCAATCAAAACCTAAGATTTTGGGAAAGACTGCCTATCTTGTCCATGGCTTTCATTGAAGAATTGCAGTGACACTTGCCACTGTAGCTGGTAAAAATGCTATCTATGAGGAAATCAATGCAATCAGGCAGCTCCACAGGTTGCAGACATTACAACAGACTGGCAGTCAGAGGCGTCTGGTCCTGAAGACAGCTAAATGTGAGAGTCCTTGAAATTTTATTACACTGCATGTGAAAGGGAGAATATCATGACTCAATGTGCACTCGGATACACATAAATCGAACGGCATTTAAGTGCTAGGATTGTTTCAGTGACATACTGCTTTATAATAAACCAGTAAAACCATTCCCTCGTTTGTCACAGATGACACATATTCATCCTCAGAGCAGCCTTGCTGTAGAATGCCAGGATTTGCAGTGCCTCACATCTACCTGGAGCGCAGGTAGATGCACTCCTTCACAGCCACCATACAAATGTGGGACAGACTCTCTGCTGTCTGGACCCAAAGCTTCTTAAGAATTCACTTAGTTATCTCTGAACTGGACAGCAGACTCTCAAATCACACCACAGCATCCAAAATATACACCCATCCTAAAAGACTGCTTTTTCGCTAGCCCTGAGGAAAACAGAAAAGTTAGACTTTGTAGGCTCTCCTTAGCAGCCCTGTTGCAGGTCACAAGAATACTTTATACTTCCCTACCACTGTTCCACTCCTCCAGCAATGCCAAATGCACAAAATTAAACATTTCTCCTGTTCCTCTGGGCAGCCAGGCAACCTGCAAGCAACAGCAGTGGACAGCAGCTACCGTCAGTGCAGCTGCTCAAACCTATAGGAGCTGTTTACAGCTGAGAACACATCTGAGCTTTAAATCCGATCCTTAACAGCCGCAATCACGTATCTGGTGTAGACTGGCAAGGTTACTAAATGTTATGCAACCAAATAACCAAAGAGCAAGCTGCTGGCATCCACACAGTGTATTCAAGACAGCAGAGATTTAAGCTTTGTACACTAATTAATGAGGCGCTCTAAACCACAGCTGGATAATGGAAAGGAAATTGAGAAGTGTTAAAATCAGTGACAAAGTAATCAAATACCCTGAGTATGCAGCCTTGAACCCAGCAGTTACACTGAAATTCTGAAAGGTCAGTATCATCAGCTACAATTACATTTTCATGTAATAAAAGTTCACTGTACTTGAGACCCTGGAACTCTCCTCTGCATGAAGAAGTACTGAACTGTTAAATTATAAACACATGTACCCCTTAAAAAAGAAAATAATCTGTATTTTTATTATAAAAAGCACGTGTGAGCAGCAGAATTCTGTTCCAGAACAATGTCACTTAATTTAAAAAGCATGATTGTATCTATGTGGCCAATTGAAAACATACAGTAATATGTAAAATAGATGCAGATATTAAAAAAACTCTTCCCTTCAAAGCTTAATCTGCACTTTAATCATCCTCACATATGGCTATGTTACTGTAGCTCCAGTAATCTAAAACTAAGCATCCATACAGTTTTTCTGCTTTAATCCTACAAATAAGAAAGGGTCAGGAAAATGGCATCCAGTATCAAATGACCCATTTTTTCCACCTGTAAACAAAACATAGCAGATTCCTATCTCAAAAGCCAGAAAGTACAGTGAAGAATTATGTAAAACTCCAGGTGTATGAGCAAGGAAAGACAGGGAAGAGATATGATACAAACAGACAGATGATGAATTTCAAAGTATGCTTTTAAACTTTAAATATTTATACTTAAACTAATAAACATTTTGTTGAGCACCAACATATTATACTGATCAGTTGTTACACCACCTCAAAAGAAATTTGTTCTGCACTGCACAGTTATTTAGCATATTTATTGTACAGTATGAGGCTTCTCATCTCTGCATGATCTGGAAGAAAATTTCACCACTAGAAAATGTGAATCTAACATTACACAAAGAAACTGAACAGCTTATGCTAAGAAGCTATCTCTCATTTTATGAACTGGCTACTACTTCATTCTCTATTTAGGTGTAATATTAGCCTATTCTTCCCGATTTGTATAAACCATGTCAGCAATCTGGACTCTATCCAGTTTTCCAAACAATCTTCAGTGAAATAATGTAACATAAGCCAGTTGACTAAAAGCAATACACTTACTTGTGCCGTACTCTCTGTCTAAGAATAGCATCATTAATACAATACTAAAATCACTTTGTAATGTATTTAAACATAACAAAATCTAACTGCAGAATTTTTTATTCTAGTCATTCAAAAGAACTACTTGAAATTAAATCATGAGATACTCCCCTGTATTATTCTGCTGCCAGATATGTGAACAATACAGAAAATTAGCAAATACAAAAATATTTGAATCGTGAACTAAAAATTATTTTGACAAAGCAGAAGGCTGCAGATACGAATGCACTGCACTGAATTAACATATGAATATCTTAATCTAAACAGGATTGCTGGTTACTAACGTGCTACCAGAGCTGCTGATCTCTCATACACTGAAACAAACCTACCATTTTTAGATATGAGAATATATCATTACATTTAAAGCAGAGCGAAATTGATAATGCAACTGCTATATAAGAACCGCAGAAAAATTTGTCATATAAGGCTTTATTTTATACAAAGCAAATAAATACGCATTTATCAGAAAACTCTTAACCTCTTAACTTACAATAAATGCACAAAGTATGACTTAATCATCATGGTAAGGACATAGCTCAATTACAGTGAATGCATAAAATTGAAATTCATTTTATTAAATGTTTAGAGACCACAGCACTATGTAAAACTACCAGTCACAGGAATTCAACACCTGAAAAAATATGATGAAGGGTATGAAACAACAAAGGTTGCTTTCCATTAACTATATTATCTAGATCAAAGCCTAGAAGCATCCTGCCAAATTATAGTTTTTCGAAGAACAAAAATCTATTACTTAGACATTGGGAAAACACAAGATACACAAGGATATCAATTGTGCCTGAGAAGTCCCTGAACTGCAAATTGCTGGAAGCTGGGAGAGTGCTCTGGGGAATTCAGACTACCTTGCCCTGTTGTCATATTCTCCTCTGATACTGGCTACTTTCAAACACAGGAGAACGTAAAGGCTATTCTGATTTCTTTGCTTCATATTTTGTCTCACTTCTACATTTTGCTTTTTCCTTGACCTTCCTTCAGAACGTAGTTTACAAGTGAAGAGTTTACATGAGTTGATTAAGTTAAAGACCATGTTAAATAGTACAGAGTGTTTTCTGCTTTCGATAACTTTCACAACAAGCAATTAATGCCATCAAAACCCAAAGCCATGGCAGAATTATCAAAATGTATATGACTTTTTAAGAGAACAAGCAAACAAAAAAAAAACCCCAATGTCTCTAGCTTTTTTACTTAAGTGGCTAAGTTAGAATCTGGCTAACTTTATGGGA